GCAACCATAGTCAACACCTGACTTCGACCTTCTTCGAGCACGGAGGTGGCCATGCACATTGTTCGGTCGCCAAGACTCTTGCTAGGATCGACCAACACTCACGAATTAGGTCTTCCACAGGGCCACGACTAGCTGTTGGGTTGATTACAATTCGGATTCACATTGCGATGGAGAAGATGACTGCCCTGCCCTGGCACGGCTGCAACTCGCGAGCACCAAGGCCCCAGCGAAGGTCAAGACATCCCCACCGTTGGGCACGGCGAAGCTGAGAGACTCCGAATGCCGCGGCAAGTTTCGCGAAGTCTTTTTCTGCAGCTACCATTCCTGATTGGGCGACGGATGTGGACGATCAGGTAATTATTACCAACAACCGTGTCACGGCCGCGACTCAAGCACGCTCTGGCAAGAGACGTCCGACGTCGATCAAGGGCCACGTCCAGAAGGATACTGTGAGACTCGTACGCCTGCGCCGCCACGTCGCTCGAGCACGCAGGTGGCCCCCCATCATGAGCCAGCGTCGCCTCCGTGGACTCCATGGACCAACCTTTTGGCGCGCTTACACGCAACCTCGTTCAACGCCGACCAACGGCAGCCATGGCATAAGGCAGTCATCGCTCTTCGTCTTGCGTGCGAGGCTAAGCTTTCAGACGCCACTTTCACCAGCGGGGCCTTGCAGTCTGTGCTCAGCGTTTTCTTGACATCTACGGCCAAGCTTGCGTGGAAAGTGTCGACCACGACCGCGCCGTACATGTGGAAGACATTTCCAGGCAGATTGCGTCTTTGCACGGGACGGAGACATGCGCTGCGAGTGGAGGCCGATGAAGACACTTACTGCGTTTCGGAGGTCGGCCTGGACGCGCTCTGGTCAATGCCCGATGTTGAAAGCCATTCATGGCACCGCTGCCACTTCGGCGCATGGGGTGGACACTTTGGTGGTCCGGCATTTCGCGGCCATTGGGGATGCACAGGTACTTGGCGACTCAGGTTTGGCAGCGAGGTGCAACCAGCGCCTCCATCATGACCCTGACCAGGTTCAACAGGACCCGCAGCTGGTTCCTTCCTTGGCGCAGGTGTCTAAGCTCTTCTCTCAGGTCAAGCATCGCAAATCGAGCGGCAAGGACGGCGTCGAGGGCGATGTCCTGGGGGGGGTCCCAGAGAGACTGCGCGAGTAGACTACCTTTGTTTCCTGAAGTCCAGCGCTTGCCAGCAACAACCGCTTGCGTGGAAGCATGGCACAGTCTACTCCATGTGTAAGGGGACCGGAAAATACGCGCTGCTCTCCTTCTATCGCAGCGCCCCCCTTCAACAGCACGGTCAATAAGTATGGGCGCAGGTTTTTGAGAACAGGGCCAGCTCATATTTGGACATCTTGCTACGAGATACACAGTGTGGAGGCAGGCATGGGGCAGGCCCATCAGTTTTGTCCAGATCGCTTCTACTTTCTTGAAGGCAGCCCATCATCGGGGGCGCGGAGCAGTTTTGCACTTCGTCGACCTCGCTTCGGCTTTTTATTCGGTGGCGAGGAGCCTTATCCTACCGCTGGCGGGCGACGTAGACGGGGATATTGCATATCTGGAGCGCAACCACGAGCTGCCGCTGAGCATGATGCCTTTTTTTCTTTCGTTTTCAACCGACCAAGTGCCCTCGAGAAGGGCTGGGTGCATCGCCGCACCTGCTGGCTTTGTTGGTGGAAGGTCACAGGGGCGCACGCTTCGGCGCGGATGCAATACCCTTTGCAGCTCGATCTCGTCGAGGCACTCGACCAAGCTCCTCCCTTGCCGACGCGATCTTCAACGCGGCATTCTGCAGACCCCTAAAAGCTGTTGATGACGCGCTAAGGGGCTTGGGCGCGTCGTTGCCATTGAGGCCGCCACTCATGGATCAGGTCTTCTCAGCAGATGCAGAGCTCGAGGAATTGATCGACATTTCTTTCGTGGCTGATGCTTTGTATTTGCAGGCTCCGCCTCCTGAGGTGGACCCCTAGGCAATTGCTGGGAGCATGGTTGAAGTGGTGCACCAAGCCATGCTCACGCGCGGCTTCAAAGTCAACGACAAGTTGTCCGAGTCAGCGATCTTCATCGCACCAGGTCCCCACCGCAGCCTGAAGCTGAAGCAGAGTCTTGAATCTAGCAGGCACTTGCTCGTATAACCCCCGAGGTTTGGCATTCGAGCCCACGTGGATCGTGAATACAAGTACTTGGGCACGATGTTCGATCAGCGCGGGCAGCTGGGACCCAGGGCGCCTTTAGCCGTCCGCAAGCAGGTGGCAGCTTTTGGTCAAATCCGCCGGACGCGCTCAAAGTTCGGGAATATGTCGATGCCTGTCCAGAGGCAGCACCTGCCACCCTCATGGACAAGCTCGTCGGGCACCGCATCAAGTCGCATCGCGTTCTACAAGGCCGGCTGCGCCACAGGGATTCAGCGCAGCACTTCACCGACGAGGACACCCTCTGCGACGCTCTACGCGTTCGACTTCAGGACCTCATGAGGAAGAAACGCTTGACGCACTTCGGATCGTTATTCTTCGGGGCTCCGCAGGCTCTTTGGTTTTTTTAAGATCAGGTGGGCGGGCTTGCAGGATCACGGGCGGTATTTATCTGGTACGACTTGCAGTGGATTGTGCCTTCTGACAAGGATGCCAGCATGAGCCAACGGGATCTGGGGAAATGATTCGAGTATGCCCGTGCCCATCCAGCCGAGTTCCGCAACGCCGTCAAGCGAGCTTGGAAGCTGTTCGTGGCCGATGAGCTGGAGGAAGGGCAAGTTCGGTCATGGCATAGGCGCCTCCGTCTGGCTCGTGAAGGCGCGGAGGCAGAGGTATCCGCGGAGGAGACAGGTTTATGCGTTATGACCGCGGTTGGACGACAGTGTCAGCGGCAGCGCGGCGCATGCGCCAACTCAGCCACCAACCCTTTGATGGTGCACAACTTGTTGCGCGAGGTACGCAGCGGGGAGCGCGCGGCGCTCAATTTGGCGACCGGCCCAACCTACTGCGTCGCCTTCGTTGGACAGACAAGCGCTGCATTGATTGGCTGCTGCAGAATGGTGATTGGCTGTCCCCTTCGGAGGCCGGGGACCTGCTTCAGCAGGACCTGACGCGCGAGCGGGACTTGGCGCAGCGCGGCTACAGCTACAGAAGGGCATCCCAACGCATCATAAGAGAGGCGCGCTGGGAAGGGCGAGGCGAGCCCTACTACACGACAGTGCCGCCCAAGGTGCAGGTGGAGCTAGTGCCGCTCGTTCCTCCGGTTGTGCGTCTCAGAACGGCTGGGCCCGATCCGCTCAAGTTCTATCACCTCTGCAGCGGCGCCTGGGCGCTTTGACGTCGGGCATTGGCTGGCAGGGATTATCGGGCAGATGGTCCAGATAATAAGGCTCCCTGCTCTTGACGATGATGATCAATTACGTCCTATGCCGCAGACTTTGGCCGACACCATCTTGGACGATATGAGGCACGGCAACGTGTTAGCGACTGTTCTAGCGCCACCTATTTGGACATGGTTAGACTTCGAGGGATGTCCAGGGGTTCAGCGACCACGACGCTCTCCAGCCGAACCTTGGGGGCTTCAACAGCTTGGAGATGATGCTAGAAAGCCTCTCTTGGTTGGAAACAATCAGTGGAGATCGTGCTGGGGGATTCTGGAGGCCGCCTTGTATACTGGCGTTCCTGCAGTCTTCCTGGCGACGGAGCTTGCCGTCCAGCGGATAATCGGAGCGACCCCACCACTGGCAAATTCTCTTGGAGCGCAAGTTAAAGGGTATACGGTTAATTTGTGCATGTTGGGTGCTACCGAGATGGAGGCCACCGCGGCGATCGCAACCCACGCGCACTTTGAGTTCGAGTTGGAGCAGCATGCCTCGAGGTTCACCTGCTCACATCATTTCCGTGCAGTAGGCTCGAGGCGTGACCCAGGTGACTGGCCCCAGGGCCTCTCGCGCGTGCTGGCACGGACGCTGGCAAACGCCAGCATTCCCGTGCGTGTTGCTTTAGGCGCTGCGCGCGGCCGCACAGGTGCCTCCGCAGACGCCCCGCCCTGACGGATGCGACGTGCGAGCTGGACCCAGCCTGTGCGAGGAGGCGTGGGGGGGGGGCTTGGGGGGCGTAAGTGGCTGGGGACGAAACGAACCCCAAGCGCCACCCCAGGGCCCCCCCTTTCGCAGAAGTATGCCGGCGCGCCGAGGGCCCCCTCCTCCTTTCAGGCTTTCAGCTTCTACGTCTCGTTTATCTTGCTTGGGGGGGTGGTTGAGCTGGTGCACTTTGCTTCTAGCTTCTCCTGCGCATCTGCCCTCCCTTGCTTATCCACTATTGTCGTGCTACCTTGTGCTCTTTCCGCCCTCCTTGGCGCTGTGCCAGGCAGGCTGGCGTGACTGCGGCAGCGTGCCAGCCTCAGGCATCTCTCTCACATGCTCCTGTCCACCATCCTGGGGAGGGTCATCGTGAAGCTGTTGGAGGGATGGGGGTGGGGGTCTTGCCATCCGCTTAGCGCTCCCGCGGCGCCTGCTCCTGGAGCTCCCCGCCCGCGTTGGAGACCTTCTAGCGGGCGCGGGCCTCATCAGCGTCGGCTGAGGCCGACGCCGACTGACGCTACGTGCGAGCGCGCTCGGCGGCCTGGGCAACAAAAGGAGGAGGAGGAGGAGGAGGAGGAGGAGGAGGAGGAGGAGGAGGAGGAGGAATGCATGCCATCAGACGCAATGCGTGCTTCCGTTTCCCTTGAGGGTCGATGGTTGATGCCATACACGCGCTCTCGCCCTCGTCGCCCTCGCCCTCTCAGCCACCGCCGCCGTCCTCCTCCGTCCTCGTGACCCTCGCCCTCCCCCTCGCCCTCGTCGCCCTCGCCGCCCTCGCCCTCGTCGTCCGCGCCCCCGCCCGTCGCCCTCGCCGCCCCTCGCGGCCCACCGCCACCCGCCCGCCCCGCGGGCAGACGCGCTGCCCGCGGCCGCCAAGCCGCAGCGGGCCGCGCTGAGCGCCCGCCCGGCCCGCGGCGCCCACGACGCCGCGGGCCAGCCCGGCGGGCGCGCGGTGGCCAGCGCCCGCGGGGGCGGGCCGTGGAGGCCCGCGGCTGCAGGCCCCGCGGGGGGCCGTCGCGGCCGCCGTCGTCGTCGGCCTTTGGCCTCTCGGCCGCTCGGCCTCCTCCTCGGCCTGGGCCTCCGCCTCCTCGGCCTCGGCGCCCGCCGCCGCCGCGCGGGCCCCGGCCGCAGGGTCCGGGCCTCCCGGGGTGCGCGGGCCTCCTCCTCCTCCTCCTCGGCCTCGGCCTCGCCGTCGGCGCTCTTCCCTCGCCCCGCGGTCGCCCTCCCTGCCGCCTGCCGCCGCACCGGGCCGCGTCTTATCTCACGGCCTCCTCTAGAGGGGGGCGGGGCAGATAGGGGTCGGAGGACCGCGCCGTCTCGTCGATGCATCGGCGATGCGGCTCGATGCGGAACCCGAGTTTCTCCACGCCGACGTCGCCGATGCATCGCCGATGCATCGACAGTGCATCGGCGATGCGGCGCCGTGGATCTGCGTCAGCGACAGAGGCACATGCACTCGTCTCCTACACACGATCAGCTTTCAGGCACATCGATGTTCCTCGAGGTTGAGCTGTTGTTGTCGTCTTCGCCTACTTACGTCGCTGACGTCGGGGTTGGCAGCCTCGCTCTGCTCCACCAGAAGGGAGGGGGGAAAGAGGAGCAAGGGAGATGCCAAAGATGATGTGGGCGAGGCGGAAGACGGAGGTATGACCAGGGCAAGTCGTTCCAGAACGCTCCCAGAGCGTTCTGGAGCGCCCTGGAACGGCCTCGAGGCCCGACACTTCCCTCCCAATCCGCTGGACCGCAGAGATCCTCGTTCCATCCCGGTCCGATGTTGTCCTCAGGAGGGAGGAGGAACGGAATGGAATGAGCGGTGGCCACGAGGGCGGCGCAGCCATCGCAGACTGCCTGACGCGAGCAGTCTGAAGCTTCTGCTTCGCACGAAGCCCGAATCACTGCCAGTGCCGACAGGCCGTCGCGCCGTTTCAGCCCCCCATGGTTCGGCAGCACTGCCGAGATCATACGCAAGCGGGCCGCAGCGAACAAAAAGGAATTGCGCAAAAGAGGGAAGAGAGGAGGAGGAGGAGGAGGTGGTCTGATGAGGATGATGTGGAGGGGGAGGGAGGAGGAGAGGGAAGGAGGATAGTGGATGAGCAGGGGGGACGGATGAGGAGGGTGGAGGGGAGGTAAGAAGGGGGGATGCAGAGGAAGCAGGGCTGAGGAACGAGGAGAGAAGAAGCAGAGAGGAGGAATTACGGCGGAGTGCGGATGGAGGACGTGGACGCAGGAGGCGGAGGCGAATCTGGGGCATGTTGCGTTCCTCCCCGAAGTGGTCCACCCTGCGCGGGTCGTTCTTGCTGCGCGGCATGATCGCCCACCATCTGGCGTCAGCGCTCTGTCCGGCAGACCCGTCCACCTTGGAGATCTCTTCGCCACTCTGCCCCCCATTTGCCGTGCAGATCGCCAGGCCCCTCCTGGGAGGAGCCTCGCTAGCCGCCTTCACCTTTGCCGAGCCAGCCTACCTGGCTCGATGTGGCCACCGCTCGGCAGCCACAGTCTTTTGATGGAGGTGTCCGCGCCGCTTCTCCGACGACAGTGTCATCATTAACATCTTTGCCATTCTCTTTTTGTTTGTGTGTACATACATTTATACATGCGAGAGAGCGCGTTTCACGGGCACTTGCCTTGGGAACATTCAGCGGCGCGTTTCGAACCGGGGGGGGGGGCCCCCCCCAACACTCAGCGCCGTCGATCAGAACCAGGGGGCCTCCCCTCCCCCCTAAACCCCCGCTTCCCGAACCCCCCCCCTCCTCCCAAGGGGGGCGGATCCAAATCGCCCCCCCCCTGGCGCCGGCGCCGGCGCCGGCGCTGGCGGCCGCCAGCAGCGCCGACGGCGGGGACGCAGCGACGATGACCACAGGGCGCCCAAGGGGAGGGTGGCGAGGGGAAGTCCAACCCCCCCCCCGCGCCAGCGCCGCCGGCGTTGGCGGCGGCCAGCAGCGCCGACGGCGGGGACGCAGCGACGATGACCAGAGAGGGCCCAGAGGCCGCAGAGGGAACACACACACACACACACACAAATCGCCATATCGAGCCTTCGCCCCCCAGAAGCCACCGAGAGGCCCTCAGGTAGGTCCACGAGGCTTCACACATGCTCCTCAGACGCCCCCGAGACCCTTCTGACGAGACTTCAAGAGGCATCCAGTAGAACTCCGACCCAAAGCCAAAACACTGTGGCGGGAAAAGCCGAAGGCCACACCACCATCAGCACAAACCACAACACCCACCACAACACCAGCACCACCACCACCGCCACCACCACCACAACCACCACAACCCACCACCACCACCACGACCACCACCATCACCTCAAACCACAACACCACCACCACCACCAAAAACGCCACCACCAGCACCACCACAACCCACCACAACCCACCACAACCACCACAAACCGCCACACAATTATCAGCACCATCACCACCACCGCCACCACCACAACCATTACCACAACCCACCACCACCACCACAAACCACCACGCCACCACCACCACAACCACCACCACTACCACCACCGTCACCACCCACCACCCACCACCCACCACCACCAGTACCGCTACCAGCAGCAGCAGCAGCACCACCACCACCAACACCACAGCCCACCACTACCACCAGAAACCACCACACCACCACCACCGCCACCACCATCACACAACCACCACAACCTTGACCACCACACAACCACCACCACAGTCTCCACCACCACCACCACAACAACTCACGAGCACCACCACCACCACCACCACAACGACCCACCACAACTACCACCGCCACCATGATCTACCACGCCGCCACCACCGCCGCCATAACCACCACCCCTATCAGCAACACGACCTGTAATCACCACCACCACCAACCACCACACCGGCACCGCCACCACCACCACCACCACCTCCACAAACCACCGCCACCACCACTACCGCCAACACCATCATCACAAACCACCACCACCAACAACTACCACCACCGCCACCACAACAGCCCACCACCACAAATCACAACCACCACCATCAAACCACCACCACCATCACCGCCACCACCACCACGACCACCACAACCCACCACCACCGCCACCACCACAAACCACCGCACCATCACCGCCTCCGCGACCACCACCACCACCAGCACCACCCACAACCGCAACCACCACCACAACAAACCACCACCAAAACCACTAGATCCACCACCACCACCGCCAACACCACCACCACCACCACAGCCCACAACCACCACCACAACCACTACCACCACCGCAATCACCACGACAGACCACCACGCCCGCATCGCCGCCATAACCACCACCACCTCGGCCAACCACCACCACAACTACAACCACCACCACAACCAGAAACCATCGCACCTCCACCGCCACCACCACCACCACCACAACCTGCCACCACAACCACCACAACAACCACCACCACCAACCACCACATCACCACCCACCACCACCACCACCGCCGCCACAACCACCACGTCCACCACCACCACCACAGCCCACCAGCACCACCACCACTTCAGAGAGGCCCAAAGAGACGCCCAAGAGGCGCCCAGCAGGCCTTACGAATTTCCTTCAGAGGCCCCCGAGGGCCCTCCGACGAAACCCCAAGAGGCATCCATTAGGACTCTGTTCCAAAACCAAGGCACGGTGGCGGAGCGTCGTCGTCGTCGTTGTCATCGTCGTCGCCGTCGTCCTCGTCGACGCTCCCCGTCGCCGCCGCCCACCGCCGCAGGCGCCGGCGCCAGCCCAGAAAAGGAAGTCGTCGTCCCCGCCGCTGCCGCCAGCCGCCGCCGACGCAGGCGCCTTTTCGAAGAGAGGGAGAGAGAAGAAGCAGGGGGGGAAGGGGAGGGGGGGCGGGGTTCGAACCCCCATTTCTCCATCCAGGGGGGGGGTCCAGTTCCACTCGCCCCCCCTCCAAACGACCACAGAACGCGCTCTTTCAGATACGCATACGTGAGCCAGCGCTGGCCCCAAACAGCGTGTTTCTGGCAACTGATGGGTTTCAGCAAGTATATATATATACACACCATAACGTTCATACTCATAGTAGTGATCGTCATAATAAGAACAACGTAGTAATGGTGATAGCAGTACAAATGATAACGATGACGAAGCTAATATTAATAACCATATATAACGCGTATATATATATATATATGTATGTATGCGTGAGTGTGTTCGCTTTTGTGGACCCCAGACAGTGCGCTTCTAGCAATAATACGGCTTGTGCAACCTATGTCAAACAAGGTACGTGGTGCAAAATATGTTGTGACGTTTTTCGGTTGTGCCGTCTACGTTGTGCTTCCTATTTTGTGTAGTAAAAATGGTGCGACCGATGAGGTATTACATTTATTATGTGGACTAAACGTGGACCAATCTATACGGCGCCGTTGATTTTAGCCATTGATTTGACACTCCCATGCTAATGCGAACATCCCACCCACCCACCCGCAACTTGGTTTGCAAACCTCTTAATACCGACTACGACGACACCGACGACGACGACGTCGACGACGCCGACGACGACGACGACGGCGACGACGACGACGCCGACGACGACGACGAAGACGACGGCGCCGACGACGACGACGACGTCGCCAATGAAGACGACGACGACGAGGGAGGAGGGAGGACGACGACGACGACAACGACGACAACGACGAGGGAGGAGGGAGGACGGCGACGACGCGAACGACGAAGAAGGAGGAAGGACGGCGACGCCGACGACGACAACGACGAGGGAGGAACGAAAACGACAACGACGACAACGACGACGACGACGACGACGACAGCGACGAAATATGAGGAACGACGACAAAACGCCGACGACGGACGACGACGACGAGGGAGGAGGAGGAAGGACGACCACGGCGGCAACGATGACGGAAACGACCGCAACGCCAAAGAGGACGACGACGACGACGAACACGAGGATGGACAGAGGACGACGTAGGCGACGATGACGACGACGACGCGGGAGGATGGAGGACGGCGACG